GATTATTCACTTTCTTCTTCTCTAAGCACATAACACAATGCCCAGCATGTCATAGGTGAATGGCTGATTTTTCAGTTGTTGTTTTTTGACAGAGTTTTGTTCTTGTAGCCCAGGTTGGAGTGCAATGGCACAGTCTTGGCTCACTGCAACCTCCCACTCCCAGGTTCAAGTGATTCCCTTGCCTCAACCTTCCAAGTAGCTGGGATTACAGGCATGCACCGCCACAACCGGCTAATTTTTTGTATTTAGTAGAGACGGGGTTTCACCATGTTGAACAGGCTGTTCTTTAACTCCTGACCTCAGGTATTCCACCGGCCTTGGCCTCTCAAAGTGCTGGGATTACAGGCATGTGCCACTGTGGCCAGCCAATGATCAAACTTTTTACAGAAGTCTTTAAAGAATCACACCAGTGAAAACACTCATACCGCCTTACCATTCAAATTAAAATCAACTCAAAGTTATACTTTGCCCACAGAGAATTAATACAAAGAAATACCCATAAGAAAACCTGAAAAATTTTCCAACTAAGACAAAAGCCAGAGATCACAGGGTTAACATACTTTTGGAGCTAAGGCAGAAAAGTCTCTCACCTGGATCTTCTGAACCAGAGCTCTATAGCTTTCTGCACAAGATCAGTTCCCTGCTAAAAACCTGGTAATAAAAACCTCCTTTTTTGGGGAGAAATATCTGGCAAAAAAAGAGATTTCAGTCAGAAACAAGGGGAAAAATTTCTGATTCACTGAATTTGTTGTTAAGCCACTGAAGACACCTCTTTGCTTTGAAATAACTTATTTTGACTGATGCTAGAGGCGCTGGTAGAATTTCCTTTCCTTCATAAAATCACTGTAGTTGCAATAATACCTCTGAAGTTATGGGAGTAAAGATCTGCTGAAACATCATTTGGATTTAATCACAATACCAGAGGAAAAGAATAAAAGCTGTTTTTTTTTTTTTTTTTAAACAACAACAACAAACTGCTGGATATTGCCAGAAATTAATTGATCAAGACAAGCTCCTAGAAATCTTTTTTTTTCTTTTCCCAAAAAAGTACCTTTAGTGACACCTCCAAACTTGGTCTCTGAGCTTCAATGAAGCACAAATTACTGTGTGGCATTTTATCTCACAAATCAGAGAAGGTCCTAAATAGCAAGCTGTGCCTTTTTAAAAATGTTGCCCCAAATGCAGGGTTTGTTTTTTTCAGTTTCTTTGAAATTTATCATATTACATTGGGTTCCTTACCCAAGTGAAATGGCATTTTTAGTTAAAAAGTCATAAGGTATAATTAAAACATAAATAATTTAAAAAGATTTTGATTTAAGCATCAAAATTGTTGTGTGAAAATTTTGCATCCTGTCCCAGGAAGTATATTGGTAGACATATTTGGGAAGAATTAATTCCAAGTACTGCCTAGAGGGGTCCAGACATAATGGCCAGTACCCCAAGTACTCTAAATACTGCCTTGAGATTTCCAGATAAACTTTTTTAGAGAGCCTCAACCAAAAGCCTGCTGCTGTATGGCCTCATGGAGAAGAGAGAGCCCTACCACTTCTAGTCAGCTGCAGAAGCGAGGAGCAGCTCAGCTCATCAAAGCTCTCTCTTTGCCTCAGCAAACACAAATAACTGCAGTATCTAGCCAGAGAGGTCCTTCCCACAAAACAGGAGGTGAAATTAGGATAAACAGGACTTGAGAAAATAATTGATTTTACAGTGTGTGGCTGCTATAATAAAGAGCTTCCTTGGAGGACCTGATATACAGAGGGAGGCAGCAGCTAGAATTCAGAGAGCAGCAGCAGACATGAACCTGGCCTACAAACCCTCTTTCTGGTATAATTCATTCACATATCTACCTCCCCTCCCCTCCCCTCAATAGGATGCACACATTTGACAAAGGGGCTACCTGTCAAATAGCAGCAATTATGCAATGACGAAGCATCAGTGTCTGCCTTCCACATTAAAATGTGATTTAAAAATAAAATCTAACTGGAGGCCCCTTTCTTGCTCCTGAATTATGTCTAAGTCTTGCAAAGAGGTTCTCATTGTGCCATCTTTTCTTCCTTGTGACCCAGTTCTTTCATTTTTCTCTTTGTGCCTGATTTGATAAATGTATTCCCAGGAAAATATCCTAGATTTAAAAACTATTCTTTCCAGACCTGTGGCTTCTAAAGAGATAATTAGTCCACTATAATATGAAATAATGAATTTCTAATGGTGAGCTTTTTAGATTCACTGCCACTGATTGATAGGGAGAGCAGGTAGACCTACTTGCTAACCAAGCCATGAACATTAAGTATTCACCAGTTTGATTCAGTCTCTCACTCACTCATTTATTTAACAAACATATTATAACTCCAGTATGTCAATCACTGCACTCATTATTGATACAGAGATTCTTAAAAAGACACAGATCCTTAAGGATCTAGAAATATAAATACCATTTGACCCAGCAATCCCATTACTGGGTATATACCCAAAGGATTATAAATCATTCTATTACAAAGACACATGCATGCGTATGTTTATTGTGGCACTGTTCACAATAGCAAAGATGTGGAACCAACCCAAATGCCCATCAATGATAGACTGCATAAAGAAAATGTGGCACATATATACCATGGAATACTATGCAGGCATAAAAAGGGATGCATTTATATCCTTTTCAGGGACATGGATAAAACTGGATATCATCGTTCTCAGCAAACTGACACAAAACAGAAAACCAAACACTGCATGTTCGTACTCATAAATGGGTGTTGAACAATGAGAACACATGGACACAGAGAGGGGAACTTTTCTTCCACTGTTGGGAAGAACATCACACACCAGGGCCTGTTGGGGGAGATGGGGGAGCTAGGGGAGGGATAGCAGGGGGTGGGGCGATAGGGGAGGGATAGCATTAGGAGAAATACATAATGTAGATGACGGGGTGATGGATGCAGCAAACCATCATGGCACGTGCATACCTATGTAACAAACCTGCACATTCTACACATATACCCCAGAAATTAAAGTGTGATAATAAAAAGAGACATAGATCCTGATTTAAAGAACTTTAGAGTGAAAAACATGGATATCTAGACAAATATCTATAACACAAGGCAAAAACAAATAAGACATATGATAGAGGTAGCAGCAACATACTACGGAAGACAGAGTGAACAAATAATTCTGATTAGGATGATGCAGGCCTGATTAGAGCCTTGAAGCGGGAGTAGCAGCTTCATACATGGCGTAGGAGGATAGTGCAGATGCATATAACTGAGAAAGCAGCAAAGCGAGAAACAAGAGGCCTAAACATACTCTGGTCGAAAGGTCAGATCATGGGAGACACTTTGTGCTGTGCCAAGTACTTTGGGAAAGTTTATTAGTAACTGTAATAGTTTCTCATACGTGCTGTAACAAATTACTACAAACTCGTTGACTACAAGAAACAGGAATTTTTCTTCCACTGTTCGGAACACCATAATTCCAAAAGCAAGGTGTTGGTAGGGCATTATCTCTAACGGTTATAGAAAAGCATTCTTTCTTTCCTCTTTCTAGCTGTCAATTCTTGGCATTCCTTGGCTTGTAGTTGAATTGCTCAAATTCCTGCCTTCCTCTCCACATGGCTGTCTTCCTTCTGTGTCTGTCTCTGTATCTCTGTTTTCTCTTAACAGGACACCGGTCATTGGATTAGGGCTAACTTTATTTCAGTATGGATTCATCTTAACTAATTACATCTGTGAAGACCCAATTTCCAAATAAGATCATATTCTGAGTTCTGAGGTTCTAAGCGGACATAAGTTTTAGGGAGACACTAATTAACCCAGTACAGTAATCAATGTCCTTTACCATATTTGAGGCCAGTGGTGGAATAACCTAACTGTTACAACTTCAAGCAGGCAACTTTTGTGTCTAATATTTCTAAAAAAATGTCCTTAGTAAATACAAGTATACTGGCTACTTCAGAAGTAGCATAGAATGAATAATCAATAAAACATGGAAGGATGAAGCTGAAGAGGGAGGGGTCAATGATAACGAAGGTTTCAGGTGGAAGTGATAGGATGATGACGATGATGATGATGATTGAACCTAACATTTGTTGAGAGTTTCCTCCATGCTAGGCATTTTCCCAATTGCTAGAATTTTCCAATTCCAACTTTATTCATGCTCATAACAACCCCAGTAAGAAAGATTTTATCATTTTTTAGGTGGTAAAGTGTTGATCATTTTTTAAGTGATAAAACTGAGGCACAGAGAAGTTACAGAGTCTGTCCAAGTTCACATAATAATCAATGTGAGTGCTGGAAATTGAAGCCAGGTGATCTAATTCCAGATACTGTGACATTAACCATTACAGTAGAACTGCCTCTCTAAGAAACATGGTGATGTTACATTTAACTAAGATAACCCAGGAGACATCCTATTAGGGCAGAAGATTAAAAAGTGGGGAAAATACATGAGTTGGAAAAAGATTCAAAGAAATGTGCTTCCTAGCACTTACTTCAAAATCATAATTACATTTGATGCTTTAGGATAAGCATTATCTCCCTAACAAAAATGTAACTTGGGTAAAAGATCCAAACGTACAGAATGAACACTGCGCTATAGCACAGCAATGTAACGCATCAGGACATTTTAACATATTATCAAAAGCAAAATAAAATGATAGAAAACATTTTTCTGAGTTTCCCGTTGGACTTTCCTTTCAAATCTTTATCTCCACATTAGTCTATGGCATAGATTCTATGCTTTGCTCCTCCGCAACTTGCATAGGTGGCAGTGGAGACCTTGCCCACTGGGATGAAGTATTACAGTATCACCTTCCACCGAGTTTTATTTTCTTCTTAGTTAGTTGTCCTACAGAGTAACCTTGTCATCAGAAAGGGTTTTGTATGTTGCATCTCTCTTTCTTTATAAAGTCTCCTTTAAGCATAGATCACCTCTATTTGGCATACACTCTTCTTTCATCGCAACAGGACTGTTTCAAAAGTTGCCTATTCTCACTATTTTTACTCTTTAAGGTTACTCTTCTATCCACAGTAATCTGCCTTCCACTCCCTTAGTAAATGCAATTGCCCTGCCTAGATTACCAATGATACTTTCAAGGGTGGCTTCTGATATTAGTGTAGTATTTGACATTATTTCCCAAAACTTTAGTGGTTTTTGGAAGCCCCTTCTGCCTTCTCTTTTACCTCTGCAGTTTCTTATGTCCCAATTTCCATTTTGAGCTCTGATTTCTCTGCCCGTCCTTTAAATCAGTGGTTTTAGCACAGGATATTATGGTGTCCTAAGAAAGGGATGCCATGGGAATAAAGATTTTGATAGGTGACCTTAAAGATGAATCCCACTGATCTCTACTTCATAGTTTTCATGTTCTGGAGTAATTCCCCTCCTCCTGGGGAACTGGACTTACTGACTCTGATATGGTTTGGGTCTGTGTCTCCACCCAAATCTCATCTTAAATTATACTCCCATAATTCCCACATGTTGTGGGAGACATCCGGTGGGAGATAATTTGAATCATGGGGGCAGTTTTCCCTATACTGTTCTTGTGGTAGTGAACAAGTCTCATAAGATCAGATGGTTTTATCAGGGGCTTCCACTTTTGCATCTTTCGCATTTTCTCTTGCCACCACCATATAAGAAGTGCCTTTCACCTCCCGCCATGATTCTGAGGTCTCTCCAGCCATGTAGAACTGTAAATACAGTTAAATTTATTTTTTCTTCCCAGTCTCAGGTATGTTTTTTATCAGCAGTGTGAAAATGGACTAATACAGACTCCCTTCTAATGATTTGAATGCTGCAGATGTGATATGATGTCACTTCTGAGATTAGCCTATAAAAGGACTTTGGCTCTGTCTCTTGGATTGCTTACTCTGAAGAAGCCAGCTGTCATGCCGAAGGCCCATGTGACAATGGACAGAGGCCTGCCGAAATCCATGTGAGTGAGCCTGAAAGAGGGTCCTCTGGAAATAAATCCTTCAGCTGAGACCACAGTCATAGTTGACAATTGGACGGCAATCTAAAAAAAGACCTTGAGATAGAGGCTCTCAGGTAAGCCTAACCCAGATTCCTGACCTATGGAAGCTGCAAAGTAATACATATTTGTTGTTTCAAGCTGCTAAATATTGGGTTGATTTGTTATGCAGCAATAGACAATAATATAAGATCCTACATATTAGGCTTCATAATCCAGGTCATCTTTAATATCTTCCTTTCATTCCCCACTGTTCTTCCAATAGCCATTTTAAATTCCCTAAAATTCACTGTCTTAATACACCTTGGATTTATATCCTTTATTTCTACTATCACTCTGTTAGTTCAGGCCACCATGATTTCTGCCTTGATTATTTTAACACACCCGTAAATAAATCTACCCACATCTATACAACACAGAGGTGAAGAGCTAAGGTTCTCATTTCAGATTGCCAAGTTTGAATTCGACCTCTGCTACTTACTATCTAGGTAATATTAGACAAATCATTTAAACTCTCTTCTTAGTTATATCATCTATAAAACAGGAATATTAATATAATAGTACTTACCTCATGGAGTGATTCTAGCATATTAGCTTTTGCTTGCAACATGCTTAGAACATTGCCTGGTATATTGAAAGCTCTCTATAAATGCAATAGTTATTGAAAGGCAGTCTACATAGTGGTAAGAATGTGAACAGACAGACTGTTGGATTTGAGTTGTTATTCTGCCATTTGTTATCTGAGTTAACCTGGAAAAATTGCTTTACCGCTCTGTGTCTCCATTTATCTGTAATATAGACATAATAATATTACTCAAGAATAAAATTTTTGTGAGTATTACATGAGTTAGTGCCTAAAATGCAGGCTGAAAAAAAAACTGGCACCAAATATTACCAAGTGTTTTCAATTATTGCTATTATTGACCATTCTGCTGCTTTTTGATTTATTCATTACTTTGCAAAAGTGATATATCTTAACACCAGATCTGATCATGGTCTTCCCCTAAAACCTCTTTGATGGTCCACCCATTACCCCTTACTTGACCTAACAGAACCTTCGTAATCTAGCAAAGCTCTCAAACTTCATGTGTCTCCACTCTTTCCCACTAAACATTAAACTCAAATCAGACTAAGCTGCTTGATCTTCCTCAAATGAGCCATGTTCTCATCTATTTCCCTATCAGTGCAAATGCTCTTTTCTAGAATAAAAACACTTTCTACTCTACTGCTCTGGCTAACTCCCACTCATCCTTTCAAAATGCCATTAATAGTATTATATTTCACAGGAACCTTCTCTAACCATCACTGACATTCTGTGCAATACACACATACACACACACTAACACACACACAAGTAGGTGGATCTTCCCATAAGCACCTGTAATTCTCAGTGCACATCTCAATATCTAATATCTAAGAGACTGTAACTATGCACACTTCCATTTCTCTCCGCTAGACATGAATACAGAGTCCCTATCCAAGGCATTGAACAAGAACATCAGGAACACTGCAGGCAGTCAATAAATATTTAATCAACAAATAAATGAGGTCTCTAATCTACCATTTCCTTTTTTCTTTGAGAAACCATATGAACTTCTTGTATATTGTTCCTACAGTTGACTTTTGTGGCACTACTTTGATATGGGGTGGCAAAAACTAAGAGTTCTTACTAAAGATCAAATAAAAGCATGATTTCTAGACAACTAAGAACACTGAGAGACTTCAGAGACTTTGTACCCATGTGTTCAACCCAACTGAGGGAAATGAAGTCATAAGAATCTCTTTAAGCCTGTATGTTCCATAGCTTCGAGCAGGTACATACCTGGCCAGAATCTCTTATTTTGATTCCCCATTCCCACAATAGACTATAAGAATTTGTATGAAGTTGAAAGTTTTTGAGTACTTCAAATCAAATCCTCAGACCAAAAAACTCCAATATGGAAGGTTTTGTATCTCAACTTTCAACAACTCTCTAAGTAGCCAGGTGGCCTTGTATTGGTACTCTATTAGCCAGGCAGTGTACTGATTTCCAAACTGGGGGAGGGTCAAGGTCTGAATCACTTCAAAAGTACCAAGAAAAATAAGTAAAGAGACCAAAGAGTTTCTTGTCTTTTTAGATTTAATCAAGGAACTGCTAAGTCCCTGGTTCTTAAGAATTTATAACAATGAGGAAGTTATGCTTTTTTCCCTCCCGATACCACTTGCTCTTTTTATATATCCCGAAAAAGGAAGATAACTGATGAGAAATGACATGCACTGCTGATAGAAATGAGGAAAACTGTTGAGGTCTTAACAAAAAAAAAAAAATGAGCAGTGTCAGTGTTACTAATAAGATCTCCCACTGAATTCCCTCATTTCATAAAGGTTCTGTCTATGTGAGATGAGCAAAGTTTTTTTTTCAAATAGAACCTATGTTCTATAACTAGGATAGAAAAGTGAAGGGAAAACATACCTATAAAACTGACTTAAAAATAAAGAAAAAGCTCTTCCTAAATTTGTAATACAGAGAAATTGAATCTTTTTTTAGAATGTATTTTCATTACTAGAGTAAGTAGATCAGGGTAAGAGTGAAAGACTGTTTGCATTTCTTGCAGTATATACATCATGAGGTCTCTGGCATTTCCTTTGACACAAATAATTTTCCCGGAGATGTTGGCTTGAAGTTTCTATGCTACTGCAGAAATGGAAAATAGAAGTAATAAACAAGTAATTGGAATGTTTTATGTAAGAAAATACAACTCATAAAAAGTAATGGCAAATAGCAGACTAAAGTGTTGACCAGACTAAGAAATTTCAATTTAAGTTAAAAACTAAGAAATGTGTCCAATAAAGTATATACAGAGCCACACAGTGTAATTCAACTCACTCTGTACCATATAACTACTCTAGAATATAGAGGGAAAGGAGTTAATTCTTTTCAAAAAAAATGTTTTGCTGTCTTATCTTCAAATCTGTGATATTTCCTTGTTAGATAATTTCCCTGTAGAAGACACTGATTTTATTAGCTCTTAAATGATATATTAATGAAAGCCAGTCTTGCCTGAATAGGATATTCTCAAGACATTTATTCAGCAAGAGGATGATATCACAGATGATAGAAAGAACAGTAGAGGAATAGACAAGGGTAGCGAACAAAGATATGTGACAGGAAAGGATATATACATGGCCACAAGGCACATGAAGAAGCTGTTCATCAGGGAAAGGCAACTTAATAAACAGTGTCATGCCACTATTCACCAACAAGAATAGCAAAATTTTGAAGGGCTGACCATAATAAGTGTTGGTGTGAATATGGAGCAATTAGTACTCTCATATATGGTGATAAGAATATTAAATTATACATTTTGAACAAAAGTTCTGTTACTTATAATATTAAATATACATTTTATGACTCTTCACACCAAGATAATTACCCAAGATAAATAAAACATATATTCACAAGCCAGGCATGGTGGCTCATGCCTGTAATTCCAGCACTTTGGGAGGCTGATGAGGGCGAATCACCTGAGGTCAGGAGTTCAAGTCCAGCCTGACCAACATGGCGAAACCCTGTCTCTACTAAAACTACAAAAATTAGCCAGACGTGGTGGTAGGTGCCTGTAATCCCAGCTGCTGAGGAGGCTGAGGCAGGAGAATCGCTTGAACCCAGAGGTGGAGGTTGCAGTGAGCCAAAATTGCACCATTGCACTCCAGCCTGGGCGACAAGAGCGAGACTCCATCATATATATATATGTTCACAAAATGCCTTACTAAAAATTGCTTATAGCAGTTTCATTTATAATCAGCCAAACCTAGACAGAACCAGAATCAATAGGGCATTTTAGGAAATTGGCTCACATGATTGTGGGGCTGGCAAGGCCAAAATCTGTACGGCAGACCAGCAGGCTGGAAACGCAGGCAGGAGTTCATGCTGCAGTCATAATGCAAAATTTCTTCTTCAGCAAACCTCAGGTTTTACTCCTCAGGACTTCAAGTGATTGGATGAGGCCCAGTGACGTTTTTCAGAATTATATCTTTTACTTAGAGTCAGTTGATTGTAGATGATAAACACATACACAAAATACCTTTACGGCAACATCCATATTGTTGTTTGAGTAAATAACTGGGTACCATAGCCTAGCCAAGTTGACACAGACAACTAACTATATGGGGACCTTGCATAAGATACTATACTGTCTGATGTATTTAAAATTCTAGAATAAAGAAAACTAACCTAGAGAAGCATAAAATTAGAAGAAATTTTGCCTCTTCGGGTTGAGGGTGGAGTGATGGGAAAAGAACATGAGAGAACTTTCTGGGGTGATGGTAAGTTTCTATGTGTTGACAAGAGTTTCAGTTACACAGGTATGTGCATATGTTAAGTCAGTGAATATACACTTGAGATTTGTTCATTTTATGTTTGTAAATTTTATAACAAAAGAAAAAATGTATGAACAACATTCAAATCTATTTAATAATGTATGTGATGAAATATTTAGGGAAAAGAGTGCTGATATAAAATGAGATTGATTGATGTAACAATTGAAGAGATAGCTAGGTATGTAATAAAGTAAGTTTAGTAGAATGTTTATGGCAGAGTATAGATCAGGAGTACATAAAGGTTCACTTTAAAGTGCTTTTGGTTTTGCTGCCTGTCTAAAATTATCACAGCAAAATATTGGGAAAACAAACCAATCTCTCAAAATAAGTTATACATATATTTTCTTCTTCAACCGGCTGGAAAGCAGTGTTTTACAAGTGGTGAACACCATCTAATTTGAAGTTAGGAGGCCAGGTTTCAAATCCCAGCCCTGCAATTATGCTGGTTTAGACCTAGTTTAATCATTCATAAAATGTGAATAGCAAATGGGATTTGTGCATGTGGGTGCACGTGTGAGCGCAAAGTATTTAGTGTGGTATATCATAAGCGATTAATGTGTTTTGTGGCATGGTTAGCATTATATTGCCTGAAATGGCTTTTCTCCATACTCTTCCGGTGACCAAAATGGCCTACTGATCTCTTCTTCTTGACTAACCTTTAGACAGGCTCCTTCCTGAGTTTAGGTCCCTGACTTCTGTTTACTTAAAGGGTTTGCTTTAGAAAGCTTGTAACTGTAAATCTTTCCTTCGGCTTTTAGAAATGTAAATCTTCTCCCAGTCTCTTGCCAGCTTTACAACCCAGGAATGTCTTTCTTTAGAATCTGAGAGCCACATATTTGTAATGCAATCATCAAGGAAGATAGCACTCTTATCTCCCCTATCTCACAGTCTGTCTTGGGAGAGCAGGCGCCTAGCTTTGGGTGGGCAGCTTGTTCCATGCAGTGCAAGGATGTCCTGTCATACAGATATGAAAAGTTTGTATTTTCCTTTGGACAAAGGCAATTAGCAAATATAGGCTGCCTATGACTTATCTCTAATTTCCCACATTACTTTTCCACTAGCTCATCCCAGCACTTAGAACCCCTCCCTCCTCTCGTTTCAGTAGAGTTGAGGTCAGACTGAGTCCTCTCCTCTTTTGCCTGTTTAAATAGCCTGAATCAAGTCATCTGTGCCTGTTTAACTTTGTCCAATGCAAGTTTTTCTTTGACGTAGGGTAATTGTTACTTATCCTTTTGAGGGTCCGGTTATATGACCCTCAAAAGGATAAGGGAGCTTTAGCATCCTCCATTGTAAGGAAGCTTTAGCATCCTCCACGTTACCTTTCTCACAAAGATTGGATTGTCTTCTTACCTCTCACAACATGTAGTACTTGCTTCAAATAAAATACACTTGTTTTTATTTATCTGCTTCATCTCCCACACTGGGAATTCCTTGATATGCAAGTACTTCTTGCATCTCCGTATCGCAGCTTCAAGAACAACCATTATTCCATAATAAACATCAATTAATGGTGGCTGAATGAACACATAATCAAATGAACATAGACATCAGGTCCAGTTCTTGCCATCACATGACGCTGAGCAAAGGTTGACCAGCAGGCTAGCAAGTGATTACTTAATGTCTTACGGATCTGAGGCAATCACGAAGAACACATTATCTGATAAATGTAAAACACAAACAATCAGTACTGGGCAAGTGGGAAAAGAATATTCCCCTTCTCTTGGAAAGCATCTCACTGTATGCTGTCTACTTGTGTCTGGCATTTTTGGATCTCAAACATCTCCCTATCCACTAAGCTGCAATTTTAGTTTAACAAATTTATACATATATGTGTTAAACCATTTTTGTTTTCTTTTAGATAAAGGAATAACATTAATTCTTACCTCAATTGCTTAAGCTATAAGTGTGCTGAGCTGAATGTTAGAGTGTCGTGAGTTACATGTCTGCCTTGACAGTGTTTTTCTGAAAAGGAACACAATAACCTCAGTCCTCTATGCCTCAAGGCTTGTGCATATCAGGAAAAGACAGATTTAAAAGCTGGTAGAACACATGGATAGTTTCACCACATACACAACTAACACAGGCTACATTTATTGGGTGCTAGCTAGCAGGGAAGTATTTAGCTAAGCACTTTATAAGCATTATTTTATTTAAACAACAATTCTGTAATTCAAGTATTGTAATTACTTTTACTGACCAAGCTCATCTTGAAATCTTCCTTTGCTTCCTTTGTTCTGCTGACATGACCTGCTTTCTATTCTTGAATTTCCCGTCTCTGAGCTTTTGTATTAGCTCTTTCCTCTATCAGAATTGGTTTTACCTGCAAGTCTTCATTCGGCTGGGTTTCCCCTCATCCTTCATGTCTCAGCTTAAATCTCATCTTCTTAGAGAGGCTTTTCCTGACTACCCAAGCTAAAGTTGCTGCCTACCCTTTCCAAGTCAACTAATGGTCCTTTCCCTTGAATTATCTTTGTTAAATCAGTGGTTCTCAAAGTGTACTCTACAGCCATGCAGGAATTACAGGCTCTTTTAGGGCATACATGAGGACAATCATATTCTCATAATAATGCTCTCATAAAATACATAGACCTTATCTTCCTTTTTGCTGTATTTATATTTGTACTAATGGTGTAAATGCAGTAAGAAAATAATAAGACCCTTGGTGCCCTGGCATGAATCAAGGCATCGGCCCCAAGCTGTATTAGTGTCATTTATGTTTCACTGCCACGCAGTTCTAGATACAAAACAAAAATAAGAATGAAAAACAAAAAGTGTCACTTAATATCCTTGACAAAATAGTAAAATATATTACTTTTATTGAACCTCCACCCTTAAATCTTTTCAATATTCTATGTGATGAAATGGGAAGTAAACCTAAAGCACTTTTACTGTACACCAAAGACAATGATTATCTCAAAGGACAACACTCGTGTGATTGAGTTGAGAACTGATTTAATCATTTTTCATGCAGCAGCATTTTATTCAAAGAACAACTGAAAAACTTGAGTATTTGGCAGACATTTTCTAAAAAATAAACAAAGTTAGTCTGTCATTTCAAGAAAAACAACTGACAGTATTTGTTGCCAGTGATAAAATTTGAGTTTTCCAACAAAAATTAGAATTTTGGAAAATCTGTATATGCCATCATGAGCTTGAAAGCTTCCCAGTGCTTAAGACTTATTTGATGAGAACACTGCTCATATTAACAAATGCTTTCTGATATTTTAAAATGAAATATGTCAAAATTTGGAATATGTGCATAATTCAGTAAATTAATACTTTCCAAATAGCCAATACTTGATGGTACAAAATCATAAATGGATAAAAGATGCCAGGTGCGGTGATCCTGTAATCCCAGCTACTCAGGAGGCTGAGGCAGGAGAATTGCCTGAACCCAGGAGGTGGAGGTTGCGGCGAGCCGAGATCGCGCCATTGCACTCCAGCCTGGGTAACAAGAGTGTAACTCCGTCTTAAAAAAAACAAAAAAATGGATAAAATATTTATTCAGAGTGCAAGGCAGACTATTAGCTTTTAATGTAACAAAGTATGAAAATTTCATTGATATGATTTTAGATTTTACATTGTAATTAACATTAAGGAAACAACCACTTGTCATGTTTTGATGTAGTATTAAAGAACAGCCACAATTATCTAAAAATGCTGTTAAAGCAGTCTTCCCTTTTCCAACTACTTATCTGTGTAAGGCTGGCTTTTTTTTTTTTTTTTAACGTTTAGGTTTTAGACCCAGGATCTTGCTCTGTTGCCCAAGCTGGAGTGCAGTGGTGCAATTATGGCCCAGTGGAGACTCAAATTCCTGGGTTCAAGCCATTCTCCCATCTCAACCTTGCGAGTAGCTGGAACTACAGGCAGAATGCCACCATGCCTGGCTTTTTTTTTTTTTTTTTGAATTTTGTATCAACAGAGTTTCACTATGTTGATCAGGCTGATCTGGAATTCCTAGACTCAAGTGATCTTCTGGCTTTGGCCTCCCAAAGTGCTAGGATTATAGGCATGAGCCACCATGCCTGGCCTGGATATTTTTATGTTCTTCATCTACAACAATATCACAACAGATTAAATGCAGAAACAGATGTAAGAATCCAGCTGTTTTCTGTTAGGCATATATTAAAGAGATTTGCAAAAATGTGGAACAACGACACTCTTCCCACTAATTTTCTTTTAATTTGTAAACTACAGTCATTTTCAGTTAGAAATGTTTTTATCTTAATGTGTCATGGGATAATTCTTGTTATTTTTAGATAAATTAATAATTCAAAATTTTTCTCTGTTTTAGTTTTTAATATGATAAATATCAATAAAAATGCTTTATTACCAAATCATTTCAAGTGTTGCAAGGCAGCAACCAGAGCAAATGTGACTCAAATCATCGCTAAAGAATATGTTAATGGGTGTGTTCACACGAAACATAGCTGAGTAGTTGTTGAATATAACAAAAAAGGGCACTGTGCCTCCTACACTTTGCCCTAACATTGCTCAGGGCAGTACCTGTCTCATACCAATTCCAGTGCCCTGGGAAACACTGATGATCAGTGTTGGCTTTAAACACTAAGTGGCTACTTATGGTGGTAAGCTCCCCAGCTTCTAGCATATAGCAGATGATCAATAAATAATCATTGAATGACTAATTTTCCACAATGTCAGTATATTTCAACCATTCACCCTGAGTATGGCTTCTCTAATCTGGAAACAATATGTTTGTACTGAAGACCAAACAAATCCTGCTGTCTGTAGCAGAGAAGCTTAAATTCATAAATCCTGGAGGTTTATGTACTTCTGTTTGTAAAGATAATAATATTTTACCTTTAGAGAGATGTTATATCCAGATCACTGTTGTCAGATGAAAATATTGACTTAGCCTACAGCCCTACTAAAAATATAAAATGGTAACGTCTAGAGAAAACAAACACATTATCATTTGGAAGGAGGGCCATGGTTAAGAGAGCAATAAGGAAGCCAGATACTTGACCCAAATTGAGTTAATAATGAAAAATTTTAAAGTATCTTAATTGCTGCTGTCTGAATGTGTTCCCCCAAAATTAATGCATTCAAACCTGTTCACCAATGTGATAGTGTTAGGGGGTAGGACCTTGGGAAGTGATTAGGTCATGAGGAAAAAACCTTTATGATGGGATTAATGCCCTTATGAAAAAGGCCTCAGATGAGGGTTGGGGTGAAACGGTAGCATTTAGCAGATGCTAAGAGATTGCACCACTGCATTCCAGCCCGAGTGACAGAGCAAGATTCTCTCTCTCTCTCTCTCTCACACACACACACACACACACACATACAGGCAAAAGAGGCCTCCAAATGCTGTCTTGCACCTTCCACCACGTGAAGAACACAGCAAAGAGTTGCCATCTATGAGCCAGGAAAGGAGCCTTCACTAGATACAGAATCTGCTGGTGCTTTGATCCTGGACTTCCCAGACTCCAAAACTGTGAGAAATAGATATTTGTTTATAAGCTGCCCCATTTATGGTATTTTCTTATAACAGCTTGAATGGACTAAGCACAAATTATTGTATTTTCTATTTTTCCCCACCCTTGATATTACTCTTTTATTTCTGTATTTCAATCTATATATTATCCAGACATTAGACAAACTATGGGCTTAACAATTTTTGTTGAATTAACTTAATACACTGGTTCTCACGTTATGGTTTGAGTATCCCTGGAGGTAGTGATGTGCTGGGGCTGCTTCTATCATCTCTTAAGAATCCACTGTCAAATTTTATTTTTTATTTACTATTATTTTTTAATATTTTATTTTATTTTAAGTTCTGGGATATATGTGCAGGATGTGCATGTCTGTTACATAGGTAAATGTGCGCCATGGTGGTTTACTGCACCTATCAACCCATCACCTAGATATTAAGCTCAACATGCATTATTATCCTGATGCTCTCCCTCCCCCCATTCCCCTGCCAGGCACCAGTGTGTGTTGTTCCCCTCCCTGTGTCCATGTGTTCTCATTGTTCAGCTTCCATTTATGAATGACAACATACGCTGTTTGGTCTTCTGTTCCTGTGTTAGTTTGCTGAGGATAATGGCTTCCAGCTCCATTCATGTCCCTGCAAAGGACATGATCTTATTGCTCTTTATGGCTGCGTAGTATTCCATAGTATACATGCACCACATTTTCTTTATCCAGTCTATCATTGGTGGGCATTTAGGTTGATTCCATGTCTTTGCTATTGTGAATTGTGCTACAATGAACGTACATGTGCATGTATCTTTATAATAGAATAATTTATATTATAATATCCATAGTCTACAAGGAACTTAATTTACAAGAAAAAAACAAACACATCAAAAAGCGGGCAAAGGACATGAGCAGACACTTCTCAAATGAAGACATTTATATGGACAACAAACATGAAAAACTCTCAACCCCCCCTGCTTTTTTTTTTTTTTTTTTTGAGACGGAGTTTGGCTCTTGTTACCCAGGCTGAAGTGCAATGGGTAACTTGGCTCACTGCAACCTCTGCCTCCTGGGTTCAAGCAATTCTCCTGCCTCAGCCTCCTGAGTAGCTGGGACTACAGGTGCGTGCCACCATGCCTAGCTAATTGTTGTATTTTTAGTAGAGATGGTGTTTCACCATGTTGACCAGGATGGTCTCAATCTCTTGACCTCATGATCCACCTGCCTCGGCCTCCCAAAGTGCTGATATTATAGGTGTGAGCCACTGCAACCTCACTGATTATCACAGAAATGCAAATCAAAGCCACAGTGAGATACCATTTCACACCAGTCAAAATGGCAATTATTGAAAAGTCAGAAACAATAGACGCTGGCAAGGCTGTGATGAAAGAGCAATGCTTTTACACTGTTGGTGGGAATGTTTTAGTTCAACAATTGTGGAAACAGTGTGGCAATTCCTAAAGGATCTAGAACCAGAAATACCACTTCACTTAGCAATCCCATTGTCAAATTTTTAAGAATTTTGTGAGGCAGTCTTTAAACATAATCATTATAAAAGTATAAAAAGCATAATATAAAAACTTTCAATTAAACAAATTATACTAACATAAAGATCATAAATATTCACAACCCACCGTTTCCTAATCATTTGACTACATTTTACTACAATCTTGTTAAGCTCTTGAGATTATTTCTAGCTGTTGTATTTGAACGGCACAAATACTTTATAATAATGTGCTACTGCCTGTCTTTTCCCAACTTTGCATTATCAGCCATATTGGGAGTATTTACACCAGAGAAATTGGCAGTGCTACAAAGTGGGCTTTCTCTCCTTCACAGATGAACTGGTTGTTAAAACACTCTCCGTAAGTGGAGCAGCACACCACTTACTAAGAGTTCTCAAGACCCTTTCCTGTACCAGGTCCTCTCTTTTTGTTTGAGTGGCTAGATTTCTTCATGTATGTTATCAAAACAACACATTGAAACAGATTGAATGCAGAAGCAGAGATGAGACTCCAAGAATAAGTTCCACATTAATTTTCAAAAATTGGAAATTTATATATCTCTTCTCATTAATCTTCTTTTTCATAAAAATGCGTTATATGTTTTATTGCTGTTTTTAAATTAATTAATAAGTATTTTTATTCCTAGTTTTCCATTTTAGTATGATAACTATAAATACAACTCACAAAATCAAAAGCTCTTGGGGTCCTCAGTAATTGAAAGTGTGAGGAACACTGAGATCAAAAGTTTGAGAACTATTCATTTTTCAATACAGTCAATTCCATATCTCACTTTCTTGACAGTGTAGTTAAACTAGAAATGCAGGTCTGGATTCCTATGGCTTTGTGACTTTGGTAAATTAATCCTTTACCTCTTCAAATCTTTATTTCTCCATCTGCGAAAAGGCAATGTTGGAAAATATTTTGCCTCAATGAACCATTTTTTAGTTCTTAGCTTCTGTAACTGTGAGAATTATAAATGAGCTTTGGTCCTAGCTCGAGGGCGGGAAAATTATTTGTGCGTTGTCATTCTTTTCACAGATCCAAACCCCATCATCACTGTCTTTAACAATCTATTCTGCCTAAGCTCCTCCCCCCACGCAAAAGGTTTTTCACTGAATTACACCACTGTACAGTAATTACAGGAGTTACTATTTCCAGTTGTCAAAAACTCAGACCAGTTCTGCACTAAACTGTATGCCATGTAGCACATAGAAAACACAGTGCAGACCAAGAAAATGCCACAGTTTAGTGTCACCCCATCCATCAGGTGGAAAATGAAATGCCTAAAGCAGGCACTGTGACCGAATGTAATAAAGCATACTATTACTCAGGCCCTGCCTTGCGTCCCCCACTGCAGCACAGTGAAATAGACAGACATGTGCTGCCTGTGCATTTTCTCTTTTCTGTGAAAACACCACTGATTAGTATCTGCTTGGCGTCCTTAATGAATGTGTGAATATGTCTTAATTCCAGGCTAGTGCGCGTCTGCTTTCGTCCGAAATCACTGCGGCAGAATACAAATAATGTACGAAATAAAAAGCCTTTGCCAAGTGCGCCAAGACTGCAGCCTTCGCTTACGAATCACACCTGCGTCTCTTTCTCCCAACGCACCCGCGGTAGGATCACGGTGTGAGATCGCACCCCAGTCTGCCGGGAATTTAATTTCCACTTCCCCTCCCAACAAACGACCACGAACACCAACCCTTCCGGGCGCGAAGCTGCACGGAAGGTGGGGAAGGCCAAGGGACCGCGCGGCGAGCCCGCACTGTGGGGCGCGCCCGCCTCCCGCCGCAGACCCTGGATGATCTGAGTTCCACTGAGGCCTGAGCCGGGAAGAAGCCGAGCAATGAGATGCCGTAAAATGGCTGCCAGGAGGGGGTTGCTCTGTGCCAAGGACAGCATGTCCTCCCCGCGGGATCCGGTGTGCTCCCAGCCCGCCGCCAGGCAGCGGCTGAGACGCCTCAAATTTGGGGCGCATCCCAAGGCCAAGGCGAGGCGACCTCCACAGCTTCACTTAGCTCGCAGAAGGTCACCTTCGCCCCCACCCCCATGCGGCACGTGCGGCGAGGCATCGCCATGGCAACCTCCCTTTCCTCCCCTCTCTTGTTATTGAACAGCTGAGACACCCAGCGTCCCTGAACTTGTTACTGCACAAGTTAATGCGGTCCTCTGAGGGCTTGGTTTCCTAACTATTGTTCTTTGGGCAACTGACTGCTTCCTGAAACAAAAAGCAAAACCAAACCCTACGCGTGTGTCTCAGGCGTTCTCCTGGCCCTAAATTGCCTGCGAATCTGGTCATTCTCTTCCTAGCAAGCGCAACAGAATAAACTGGAAGGAAGCAAGGATTCAAGTCCAACCCTGATTTACTGACACTAACGTTGGATCCATTTTGATGTTTTAAGCCTTCAGTTTCTCTAGTTACAAACCATTAATAGTTATATGACTACTATCTCTCTCATATATGGTTGGTGAGTGAGTAAATTGGTGCAGCCTTCCTGGAGGCAACTTTTTCAAGAAACAGAGGTTTGAACAAAATATAGCTACAAAGAGTCTCATAGCAGCAAATGATTATGAGTTGTTTTTAAATCAAGCTAAATGTAAGGAAACAGTTGATTAAAGAGATCGGTACAATGAGATACTGCATATCTTTTAAAAAATGAGATGAGAGAATGCATTATTTCTTGACAGGCTTTTAAAATTATTTATGGCTAAATGAAAAAAAATACTAACTAGTGATTACTCCAATCCTATTTTTATTTTATTTGAAGGTATGCAATGACGAATGTGTTCACAGTGGTTATCTCTGGGTGCTGCAATTACAGGTGACGTTTCCCTTTTCCTTATTCTTTCTTTGACGATGATAAGAACTATTTTATGCAAGAATAAAAATACAAAAACATGTTTGTTTTGTTTTATTGTTTCAACTTGTCTGATGTGTTTTATAAACAAATAAAGGGCTTGTTACTTATAGATTATACATAAAAATGTTTTCCTCAAAGGAAAGTATGAAGATTAAAATGGAAGAGCTCTGCATCATTTGGATCATTTATTGTTGCTTTTGTTTGTTTTTTTTGTTGTTGTTGTTTTTCCACTCAGATATCTAAGTATTTGCATTTGGTTTGGGAAAAATTATTTTTAATTATTTATGTTCTACTAAAGAAAACAAAAACGATTTTCCATTGAACATATAATATTAGGAAATACTCAAAATCACCTTAGTGTCATAAACCTTCACTAAGGGTGAAGGCTTTCATTTTGTTCTTGTTCTCTGGCTATAGAATTTCAATTCAAAGAGCAGTTGTTTTTTGTTGTTTTAAAATGGAAATTCAGGAGTGCTGAGAAGCTTGGCTGCAGAGTCAGATTGTGCTCAGAGTGGAATCCTTCAAAACTGCCCTCTCTGAGGTCTCTGCACCCAGGCCCCCAGAACAGCAGGGAGTAGCTTGTCATCTCATCTACACAGAACTGTGTGATCCTTCAGGGAAACCACTCTCTTCCCGCTGTGGGTGAGAGTGAACCTAGCTGTTGTCAAGTAGCCTGTAAGAAGCCCAGCAGTATCACACTCAAGGCACCTCATCTCTGAGGAGGACTCAGGGAGAACCCAGGCCTGACCAACAGTTGCAATTAAATCAGGTCCTTTTAAAGTGTGAGAAATGCTCACTGTAAATTATTCTGAAAGAAAAAAGGATCATAGACCTGGGCAAAAGCTCAGCTACACAAATTCAGTTTTTATACTATTTTATAATAGTAAAATTTTAGAGTCCACATAAATGTCCAAGAGTTAAAAAAAATCTGTGTTATAGCTAGATAATAAAACTATATGCAGCCATTAAAATTGAACATATAGGAGAATATGCAATCATGTGGGAAAGTGCTCACAGTGCAGTGTTAAGTGAAAAGAAAGGCATGTTAAAAATAGAATGCACATCATGACCCAATTTTTATAAAATATTTTGTAATGCACACAGATTTAATATATTACATACATTACTCGAAATTTAAGGTCCAAAACTGTGGATTGCCAGTTATATTTTTTCTTTTTCTTTTGCATTCTCTAATAAGTCCATTAATAATAAGGTATGGATGGCTAAGTGATTATTAATAGGGCATTAATGAGAGAAAGTATATTTTATTAGTGCCTAGGAAATGGGACTACACACTCTGATGACTTTTCAGGAATGCATTTTGCAGACACTTCAAAACATTTCCAAAGCATACATTTTATAAGCTTAGTAATTAGAGGGTGCCACATTGCCTGAGTCTCATTACCCTCTTCACATATCCATTCATCTGGACTAAAGGGTTTGTGCCTTGTGTTTCTTTCCAACCTAAGTTTTAGAGCACATATAATGCAATTTTCCTGAGGACATCTGTTTACAACATTGAAAAGATTAAATCAAGCTAAGGGTGCCCAGGCACCTAGTAAGCGCATTCTATGTATTCTCAGAGTACACGTATGCTCTGGATTCAGATCTGATTTTCCATAAACCCCTCATTTATAATTGGAGAAGCAGTTGCCCACATGACTCTATAATGGAAAATCCACAAGGGCTACCCCCTCAGGGTGGAAGACCAAGCTTTGCAGCACAGCCCAGCAGGCCCTTTATTTCCTGATTCCTGCTAACCTCTTCATGCTTCAACCCTGCCTTTCCCACCTCCTGTGCTCAGCCACAATGAGACTATCACAGCAAATGCAAATGGAATCTTCCTATGTTCTGGACATTTTTATGGTTAGCCCAACAAATCTATGGGGTATTACTCTAATATTATTTCTCCCATTTTACATATGAGACACTGAGGCACAGACAGATTAAGCAATCTCATCATCCACAGTTCCTATCGTCTACAATTAATAAGTACTGTATTAGGATGTGAACACAGGAAGCCTGATTCTTGCTCTTAACTGCTGTATCTCCACCCAGATAGTATGTAGATTCTCAAATGAATTATTAGCTTCAATGACTTTCTGCTTTAATCCTTCTGTGTAGGCTCCTTCTCTGTGGTAGTTCTTTCTACTTAGCCAAACTCTGACTCTTCTTTCAAAACACACATGTAATATATTTCCTTTGGAAAGTCTTCCTCAGTGCTCCCACATATGCCTCAGTTATGGTTCTTATCACCTTGCTGTAAAGGATGATTTACCCCCTGCCTTCACCATGTATCTTCAAAGACAAGTTTCAAATTTCTATTAATTTGTATACCTCCAGTGCCTAGCACAGTGTCTGGTGCAGAGGAGGTACTTAATCACGATGCACGTATGAATGATTATGAAGAGCACCATGGAGTTCTGTTTGCCCAAAACTATGGTCTTTAATGTCTCACTGTGAGAGCCACTGTAACATCACTGGAGTGGTGGGTGTTACGCAAACAAACACTGGACGGGTAGCTAGGAAAACAATGTAGGGCCACCTGCTAAATAACAGTCTTTTCCTTACTGGGCTCTAGTTAAATGTGGGCATATCCTTAGGAAGGGGAGGGAGAGTGTTAAGAAGACCTATTAAGATATTATCAGGCATTATTTTTGACAATTTATCAGGGTCCCAAAAATGTGGGACAGAGGACGACTAAATCCGATATATCAGGCTCAGGGCTTTGCCAAGAAAACACACCTGTTAATGAGGCACTGTAGTCTACAACCAACATAACGAACCAGAGATGTCTACCTGGGACCTTTGACACTTCCCCTGTCTTACAAGTTTCATCAAGACAGTCTTAAAATTCATTGCCTATTCATGTCAGTGTTCTTAAATAGCAAATGATTATTGTTGCTCATTTTAGTCAGGGCACTAGTATGACAGATGGAATCGGTGGAAGACAACTGATATTTATGCATTAAAAGGAATACTTAATGAATATTCCACATAAAAGCATGTTTCTGCTTTCATTATTCTTACTATTTGCATCATTTTCTTGTTCTGCCTGCATTTTTTTCTTTTTGCCAAGTAGCCTTCTTTTTATTATTATTATTATACTTAAAGTTTTGGGATACATGTGCAGAATGTGCCGATTTGTTACATAGGTATACATGTACCATGGTGGTTTGCTGCATCCATCAACCCATCATCTACATTAGGCATTTCTCCTAATGCTATCCCTCCCTTTCCCTCCACCCTGACAGGCCATGGTATGTGATATTCCACTCCCTGTGCTCATATGTTCTCATGGTTCCACTCCCACTTATGAGTGAGAACACATGGTGTTTTGTTTTCTGTTCCTATGTTAGTTTACTGAGAATGATGGTTTCCAGCTTCATCTGTGTCCCTGCAAAGGACATGAACTCATTCTTTTTTATGGCTGCATAGTATTCCATGATGTATATGTGCCACATTTTCTTTATTCAGTCTATCATTGATAGGTGTCTGGGTTGGTTCCAAGTCTTTGCTATTGTGAATAGTGCTGCAATAAATAATACGTGTGCATGTGCCTTTATAATCCTCTGGTTATATACCCAGTAATGGGATTGCTGGGTCAATTTCCCCTATTTAATAAATGGTGTTGGAAAAACTGGCTAGCCATATGCAGAATACTGAAAGTGGACACCTTTCTTTATGCCTTATACAAAAATTAACTCAAGATGGATTAAAGACTTAAAAGTAAGACCTGAAACCATAAAAACCCTAGAAGAAAACCTAGGCAATGCCATTCAGGACATAGGCATGGGCAAGGACTTCATGACTAAAACACCAAAAGCAATTGCAACAAAAGCCATAATTGACAAGTTGGATCTAATTAAAGTAAAGAGCTTCTGTGCAGCAAAAGAAACTATCATCAGAGTGAACATGCAACTTACAGAATGGGAGAACATTTTGCAATCTATCCATCTAAAAAAGGGCTAATATCCAGAATCTACAAAGAACTTGAACAAATTTATAAGAAAAAAAACAAACAACCCCATCAAAAAGTGGGCAAAGAATATGAACAGACAATTCACAAAAGAAGACATTTATGCAGCCAACAAACATGAAAAAAAGTTAATGGTTATTGGTCATTAAAGAAGTTCAAATCAAAACCACAATGAGATACCATCTTATGCCAGTTAGAATGGTGATCATTAAAAAGTCAGGAAGCAACAGATGCTGGAGGGGATATGAAGAAATAGGAATGCTTTTGTACTGCTGGTGGGAGTGTAAATTAGTTCAACCATTGTGGAAGACAGTGTGGTGATTCCTCAAGTATCTAGAACCAGAAGTGCCTGTATTTTTATTAAGCTATCTCAAACGTCTTTTGGAATAAATCTGGTAATAAATGATTGTATAATATAAAAATAAACCTCCTGTTGGTTCACTTTGAGGTACTGGTTTAAACTTTGCTTTGAGTGTTTAGGTTTATTTGTGATCACATTTCTGAAGGAATCTAAGATATCTTCACAGATGTCAAAATAAATGCTTTGAAAGAAAGTGTCAAAATTCCAGGAGTCTCATGTCCACTTATTTGGAAGAAAACAAAATGACTTTTACCCAAACATATTTCCTGCATTTTAATTATAGAAATTGAAATATGGCTATTTAAAAGCTAATTTGACCATTGTTGAGAATTGTATTTTGTGCTGCAGTGCTATTGCACATTTAAGAGTTCTTTTTTGAAGTTTTGCAAAGTTCTCATAGATATCTAGTGACTCCTTGTGGAGTTTCCATGCACACATAATAATTCACTAAAAAGATTAAGGAATCATGGAATCTCAGAGTTGAAGAGACCATGGAAATACTTAATCCCAACTTCCACCCAGTTGAATAACTATTTTGCAATAACCACGAAAGATGATCAAAAATAACAGATGACAAGAAGGTGCCTGTTGGATTGCTGCCTCCTTTCTGCTCTTCTCATGGTGACAAAGAATTACAAATAGTGTAGCAGTTTTCCTGAGACTTTGCCTCAGAGATAAGCATTACAACAGGGCTTAAAAT